TTTACTCTCCTCCGGTGTCACTTATAATTGTAACTTTTTATTTTTTAATAATGAGGGATTTTTTTTTCTCCTTGCATCACACAAAAAAGTGCTGTCGATAATTAGCAGTCTTCTGTTATTAGAAGACTCAGGTGTCACAACTGTGTCTCATCCTCATTACAGTAAAAAATTTCACCTATCAGATACATTATTGCTAGATAATGCAACTGAGAGCCTTTGCAGGCCCTCCAGAAAAGTAATTCAGCCAAGCAAAATTATCAGCTAATTATATTTAGAATCAAAAGCCCAACAACTATTTGCAGATAAATTGTATGAATTGAAGTGAATAGATCTGAATATTAAGATTCATAGATTTAGCAGATGATTTGTTAATTGGAATAAAAAGGTCATTTACTAGTCATTTTAACAATAGATCAATCGGAACCCTATTTATTATTTAACTGGTAGTGCATAAGAATTGAAATGATGAATAATTGTATTATTGTCACGTGATGATCACATTCTTCAAAATAACAAAATATAAGAAACTTATGAGGATGAATTTTATAAATTTGTCTTAAAAGATGTTGGCCTATTTAATACATTTTAAAACATAGTCCTGATCGAAATAGTGTATACAGTAAGGTTCAGTATTTTAACAAGACAAAAATATAACCTTGGTGGTTGTTTGTTTTTTGTTTTGTTTTTACTTGATGAATTGGAAATATAACCGTGAAAAAGATAATTTACAAATAAAAGTTGAAATACAGGATTTGTAATTTTTTTTTTCAAAAATCAGATAATGCTACTCGTATCTTACTGAATTTTAATTAGCAGAGGTTTTTAGGAAATGGCATGGTATGTGCTCATACAATGACTCAAAATGTAACTTGGCCTGCAGTTTTCTTTCAGGGAACAGAATACTCTAATTCAAATCCATTATTGAAAAGCAGAAAACATGTGCACTTTCTGAAATGCCTGTGACTTCACTCTTTTGATTTTACGTAATTACAAGAGAATGTGCATATGTATTTGCTTTTCGATTGGCACAGAGTTTTAAAGCCGAGTGTCTTCAGATAAAGTTCATATTTTCTTTGGTTCATGAAGAAGAATACTGGTTTATGTGCTCAGAACTTTTGTTGATGTTTTATAATGTAGTCACAGTGTATTTTATAGCTGTGCTTACAATAAGAATTTCTGTGTACCCTATGCGTGTAAAGAAAAATCATTAAATATTAGTGTGATTTCTGAAATTAATAATTGGTAACTAGATTCAGTGCTTTTCCACTGTTACCTTGAAACTTCTGACAGTTTTAAAGCAAAACTTTGAACTCAGTATTTTTCCAGACTTTGCAGCATCAAAGTAAAGACTTTTCATTTAAACTAATTTAACATAATAAAATAGGGAAAGCATCACCCACTTAAAAACAGCTTAAATTGCATGTACTTTGTCACTGTAAATAAACAAGGTAAACATTGAGATGACTTCAAATTATTCTTGGGTTGAAAAAAATCTGCAGTTCAAAATAAAATTCTGCCTTTGGTCAACATTTTGGATGCAATTCATAGTTTCTCATAAAATAAACATATTTTAAAGAGTGTTTTGAATTTCACTGCATAATTTCTAGCCAAGAGAAATTACAGTGGTATCTTTAAAGTTTATTATATGTCAGATCAATAGCCATTACACAGGGGTAAAACAACCGTTGAGATGCAATAGCTTCCCTCTACTTAACTCTTACTACCATTACATGAGGAAAACTTCCTATAGGCAGTCTTTGGGGAAGACCCTCCCACAAAGTGAAACTTCCTTTTTGTGTTTGCTTAATTAATAAAGGTATTCTTTTCTGATGAAATGGAAAATGATCTAAATTTTGAGGCAAGGAAGCAAAATGTTCGTTAAAGCAATCTTCATGAGAGTGTTTCCATCAAGGAAAGGGGGGATAGTTTTACATTCTGCATAATAACAAATCGTTTTGAAGCATAAGCTTAAATGAAAATGCCCCATCACAACAGACTGTAAATTTTTTTTCTGATGCTTTAAAGAGTGCCTCGATCATTTCCACGGCTATAGTGTTAAAGTTAAGTATTTGCTATTTTATTTAAACATTTTTGAAAAATGAACATTCTGGGGCTTTGCAGCATTATTAAGAAAAGCTGTCCATACTTTACCATGTTGTTACATGTGTTTATCTGCTGATTATAAAATGTGTTAAACAGTATTTTAAAAACAAAAAAAAATGCAGAGCTGCGCTTTGATTAATTCAGTGAACAAAACATATGCTGTTGGTTCTGTTCTATGAAATTCATATATGATCAATAAAATCTTTTAAAAGAGCAACTTTGGCTTTCAGGATTGTACTGCCGACCATGGTTTTTGTTCCAGTTAACTCTGAACTCACACTGTTAACTTAGGCCAACAGAACCACTGTCTGGCTGTGATAGTGATGTCTGTTTAATATATTCTTGTCCCTCTTTCTAAAATTTCTTTAGGTTGGAAGCTGCGTATTGTGGTTGTTACCCACTTTGTCCCAAGGATTTGGTTTATCCCGAAATATTCCCAGGTAGCTGCTTTAATATACTTTCATCTTTGTTGAGGTTTCATACATGATTCATGCTAAATTAGAAAGTTTGAAAATAAACTTAGGCAGGAGCAATTGTTTATTTGGCAAGTCAACATGTTAGTGTTAAGGAAAATTTTATGTGTTTTAATACATTAGAGTTAGCTTATATTTACCATCTGTTCTTTTAAGATAACAAAAAAGCAAGTTTTCAAATAGCGTTCTTCATTGTTAGCATACACATCCCATAATGATGGATTTTTATAAGCAGGTCAGTGTTGCTGCGATAGCTTACAGATTTTTTTAAATAATATACACGGAAAAATTGAGGACTGAAAGTCACACCAAATTATTTAAACAATTGACTAGTTAATAATATGGAACTGTTGTGCCGGGTACATACGGCTATAGTACCAGTTCTTTGAAAAAATTCTCATCACTAAATATATCACATATGCACTGTGTTACATTAGAATAATGTATTTTAATCACCCAAAGGAGATGTCTAAACAGCACAACTACACAGTCTTATTTAGCATTAAACATCCTTGTGAGCTGAGGTAACCTTATAAAATCATGCTTAAATAATGTAAAACACGAGGCGGCACAGAGCAATATGCATTTTTAATTAGTAAAGTGACTAATATCGAGTGTGTGCTTTGAGGTTTTTGTTTCATTAAAAATGTATCTGTTTTTCCTGCAGCTGAATATCTGTATTCTACACCTGAACAGCTTTCAAAAAGGCTCCAGAATTTCTGCAAGAGACCAGATATTATAAGAAAACATCTCTATAAGGTAGTTATTGAGAAGAGGTTTACATCGTATAAAAGCCATATTGAAGTACAAAGAAAAATCTTTTTAAAAAAAACATTTAATTAACATACTAATGTTTAAAGGAAACATGCTAGGGATGGATATTAGTTGTTACACTAACAAGGATTAATTAAACTGGATGCCAGTTGTATTAACCTAGGTCTTACGAAATACGTGCACTTAATGCACGGTACATGCTTTTTTTTTTAATTTATTGTTTTCTAAGATGACTGTCTTTTACATTTAGCCCCAAGAGGCTTATAAAAATGAACCTGGATTAATGTAACTCATTAGTTTAAAAGGAAGTAAAGGAAAGATTCTACAATTATACTAATGAGGATAAGCCATTCTTCCCATCATAATGAAATCTTCAGTCCTCAAAAATTCAGGTGAATGACAAGAATGAAGTTTGGTGTTCATTTCTGAACAACTTTAAAGATGATTTTCAAGAATCAAATATTTGCATTTTCTGATTTAATAAAATGATATAAAAATCCTCAGTTTGTTTAGAACTAGACTGTCAGTCTCATCTCTCAATAGCAGAGGCAAAAGGGAAATAGTATAAATAGCATCATCGAGTCCCCTCACTCATTATCTTTTCTCCCATTGTTTGAATCAAGATTTTACATTGTTGAAATAACAACACAAAGAGGCCCTACTAAAAGTCTAAGTAATTGAACTAGGATAAATCTGCTTTACGAGCGTCTGAAGGTGGCTCTAGGCCATGAGTAATATACCTTTTTACATTCTTTGCATGTAGCATCTTCATTTTACATAAATTCAGGATAGTTTACAATCTATCAGTTTTATAATCCGGCATATTTTAATTTTCCTGTGTTAATTATAACCCTCACACATGAAATACAGTCATCTGCCTCTTTTCTCTCCTTCCCATTTCATGGCCTAAAATACATATTTACATAGTGATACATCAAAACATGACTTTGTTTCTGCAGGAAACAGTTAAACTTCAAGAAAAACGGAGAGAACCAAAAATGCAATTTAACACCCAATTTCAAGCTCATTATCTTTCATTGTCTATTAACTTGGCAATGGTTCAGAAGGTAGCTCATAATAGTTTAAAATGCTGACTGAACAGTTCCAGGCTTCAGTATTACTCCTTGAGTCGATACTATTGTATCATATACAGGGGAAGCTTCCCAGGGAAAACAGCCCTCCAAGGTTTACCTCAATATTTCTTAATTTTTAAAGTTCCGTAGCAGTTTTGTTTGTGTAAAATATTAATCAAATTGATCCTCACATAGTAGACTACCAAAATATGCAGAATATGAAAACCGAGGAAATAGATCAATAGCTATTAATGCAAATAGATTCATTTCCTATATATGACACGAAGCTATTTTCGGAGTGGACGATCAAGTTATTTTTTTCTTTCAGGTGAATTTTTGATAAAGTATCTGTAAGTGTATTTCCATCATTAAAATATATCAGTTTTTAACTTTGCTTCAGGTTAGGCCTTATTAACCCTGTTACTCTGCATCTGCTCATTTTTAACCATTTCGAAGTTACTGCAACAAGTTGCCTTTAGTTAGAAAACAGATCTCTAGTTGAAATATTTTAATGCAGCTACTGCCATAATTATAAAATGAATGTCAGCTGTTAAAAAATGAACTTGTTTCTCATGCAGCTTAAAAGAGAACCTGTGTCTTAAATGTTATTTCATTGAATTGTTGCATCTTACTATTTACATATATTTTTAGTCTGTTACATCATAAAATGTTCCATCTCAAAATTTATAAATCAATAATTCATTTATAAGCATTTATGAGAATTTATATGTATAATTTATTTAGAAGTATTTTTTACCTGGGATTTTTTTCCCTACAAATGTATAGTATACTTTTACATATGTCCTCATTTGTGGTTCTTAGTGATAATATATCTAAATAGATGATCTCAAAAAGAAATATATCAGTCCAAAAATTCTAAGTAATCAAGAGCTCTGTGATACAATTATCAGGAAAAACTGGCATGTTGCAAGGCATCAAGTTAAATCCACAGAACGACCAGGGTTTTTAGTCTGATTATTGTAATAGCATTTAGAGTCAAAACAGAAAAAGAATGTCTTCTGAAACTTCACAATTAAGATGTAGTAAATTGTTGTTTTTTACCTGATGTTTTATTAATACTCACATTTTCAGATGATGTTTGCTTTCACTACATACCAGAGAATTATTAACCCTAGATCAGCTTTTTATCTACTTTTTTTAATGCAGTGGAAGAGGATCCTTTGTGTACTGTGAAGAGAATTTTTTTTTCTTTTTTAGATTTATTCCATTGGACAGTGCTGTTTTGCTTTTATAAAACATATGCTTCTAAGATCTAAAAGGATAGAATGTCACTGAAATCTTTAATTTGCTCCTTTTACATTTTTACACCTTATTTTTTTTGTGTGTGTTAAAAGTTTACATTTTAAAATCATCTCAACTGCTTATCATACAGAGTTCACTTTAGGATAGGATTTTTCATATGGATTCACACTTAGAAATTTAATGACTAGAATAAGGCTACTAACACTTGGCTTTCTTCTCACTTGAGACATTATACTTTCATTATGAGTGAGAGTTTGGGGGCTATAACTTGAAGCCGGATTTGAAACGGAATGCTAGTAACTGAAAAGCAGAAACAGAATTTGATACTTTTTTTCTTAAAGTGACTCTTTCTACTACAGAATCCTGTGTCCATGACTTCCCACCTGAAATGGTTTCAGGCCTGAATGTTTAAATTGCTCGTGTGCATGTAAATGTGCGTGCTCTCCCCTGCCCTCTCACCCCCCACCGCCTACCACCCACACACCCACACCCACACCCACATTTTTCTTAGCTCTTTAGAGAAATTCAGTGCATGCAAGTATCAAATGCTAGCAAGCCGCTTCTTAGTGAGTTTGCATCTACAGTTTAGTCATTTACTGCAACTTTCTTACACTTTCAGAACATACCCTTTTCTGCATAGAGGAAGTACATTGACCACAGTAGGTTTCACTTCATCCACAATAGGAAGCATGTATATGAGTCCCAAAGGAGCCCTAGTGGCGCAGTGGTTAAAGCGCTCAGCTGTTAACCGAAAGGTTGGCGGTTCGAATCCACTAGCCGCTCCACGGGAGAAAGATGTGGCAGTCTGCTTCCATAAAGATCACAGCCTTGGAAACCCTGTGGGGCAGTTGTACTCTGTCCTATAGGGTCGCTATGAGTTAGCATCGACTCGACGGCGGCAAATTTTGTTTTGTTTTATAAGACTCCCCAGCGAATTTGAACACAAGTTTCTACGTGTAACCATAAAATAGCCAGCCAAGGATTGACTTCCTGCATTAACAGTAGTTCTCCTTTCCAACCTGAATGGGTCTAACGTCATGAAGTTGTATTTTCTTTGCCTCATTTTTACTATATGATTTTACTTACTAAAAATTCCCAACAATTATTTGAAGTCAGTACTTCATGTTTTTAGAGAGCCTATGATCATTATATTTTAAAATGCCTTAGGAAAAAAAAACTTTTGTGGATATGCCTTTGTTAGCAGTATTGAAAATAGCACAAGAGTACAAATGGAGCAGCTGGGTAAGGCAGACACAACCAAACTAATGGGAGGGATTCTCCTTGCTGTCCTATTTCTCATTTACTTTTATTAAAAAATTGAGCAATATTCTGTGTGTGGGAGGAAAAAAAAGGATGTCATTCTTTCTTTTACTTTTCAAGAATGACCTGTAGTTATTTAGATAATGGCTGCTGATTTTTATTTTGTTCTCCTCTTCAAGTTCTTCAGCGTTCACGAAACCTTTATAACCTGCTGTTATTTGGAGGAGAGAATAATTTTCAGATTTCTGCCCAAAACTGATTCCAAACAACGATTAAGCTTACAATTCAGACTCAGTGCCCAGAAAAACCATTTGTGGTTGTCTTAATTATGTCAGGCTATGTCTACTCGAGCCACAGCCAAGTAGCCACTTTTAAGTTTCCTTGAAGAGACTGGTCACTTTAGAGTCCACTTTTAATTGGAGCTTATACTCTAGATGTGAATAAGGTGTTGCTCAGTAATATGAAATCCTCCGAAGTCGTTACTTTTTTTCTTAAAAATGGAAACTTAAAAGCTTGTGACATTACAAGTACTAAAAACTGAACCAGCACAATTTAAGGCAAAGTCTCAGTCATAATCTCTCTCTCCTCTCTCCACTCTTCCCTCCTCTTTTCTTCCCTTACTTTATCCTTCCCTCCTTTAATTTTATTTGATTTGGTTTTCCTATGATTTTTCTAAGTAAAATAAAAGCAAAAATGTTTAGCTCCATAGATACATTCTGGGTGATTAAGATCAGCTAGAGGTTTTGGCTTCATGTCTTTCTCTGCTACTAATTTGCAGTCTGGCTTTAGGTGATGTTCTTGGCCTCTATATGATTCATCTGTAAAACTGGAAGGATTTTTTAAAAGACCTTAATAGCATTTTCCCCCTGAGTACTGCCATAATGAAATAATGAATAGAAACCAGTTTGTAAACTTGAAGTGCTTTATAAATTCCACCTTATAGTAATGGTATTTATCTTGTGCCTTTGCCACTTAAAAGTAAAATTCACATTACCAGAAACATGTATTAAGATGTTATGTATCTTGTGTTTATAAAAGTTAAAATTGGATGATAAATGTCTAATAGCTGTCATCCATAACATAAAGCAGGAAATATGTGTGCAGCAGAATGTACCCATTTGCAAAAAACGGTAGCTTTCCCCTATGGTTGGAAATACAGTTGCACTTTAAGCCAATCAGATACTGGGATTTCCAGAGATGATGAAACTTGAGAACCATTTACTTGGTGGCTTTTTGAAATATAATTGACCTAAGTTATTCAGATTTGCAATATGAATGTTCAGCATAGTTTTGTTTCTCAGTCGTTAATGCGTCTTCATTTCGTTCTCTTCTCTCCCTCCCCCTTACAGGGTGAAATGGCTCCGTTTTCTTGGGCAGCCCTACATGGTAAATTCAGGTCTCTGCTTACAACAGAACCTAAGGAAGATTTGTGACAGATGGGGCTAAGTCACAAACTTGCAGCCTAAGGCAGAATCTGTAGAACTTTCCAGAGTGTGCCCATATTTACCTGATCAGAGAGAAAAGAAAATCTGCAGAGGAAGCTGAGCCTGGCTGCTTGTCATAGCTGACACAGAGCCATCTGCCACAAACCTGTGGCGGCTTCAGATCTCCAATCCCTGCCACCACCCCAACTCAAATTAAATACAGATTCCTAGAGACGTTATGATGGTTACACATGTCCTCGGCATCACATGTAGGAGACTGTTCAAAAAAAATATGTGGCCTGTTGTATAACCGCACTCATGTATCCCATATGTGGTGCCACATTGAATTTCCGGTTGAATCTGTTTTTATCCTTTGTACTGGATGACATGGTGCCTGAATTCTTTCTCTTCGCCGACACGATGGCTGCCAAACTGAAGCTTCAAACGCTCGCACTTGGCTGGGTTTCTACCTAGGTTGCCAGGTTATCATCGGAGCCTTCTAGTGTCCTCAAAGGGCCACAGGGTCTGAAAAGAGGATCCGAATGCTACCAGGCTAATTGGGCAGCCATCTCAGAATTGTTTGTGGGCAAAGGGCTGCTTCAGCACATTTCTTTTAGCAAATTAATGACTCTCCAGCACAGGGTATTTTAAGTGAAGGTATTAATAAGGGGTCTGGCAGGTATTCCCATGATTGCACAGTGCTACATTTGCATTTAATTAATCTTAAAGAAAGTTGCAAGATAAACAGCTATAATTCGGACAAACATGGGAAGTACACTAAGTGGAGCCGTCTCTCCCATAAAATGAACACTGAGATACTTGTCTTAATTTTTTTTTCCCCCAGGGCTAAAACTGGAGAAATCAAAATACTTCTAACAAAACTAGTTATTTTGATATATACTCCTCAAAAATATTTGCATCCAGCTACAAATTACAATCTTTTCAAGATAACATCACTCATGATTCCAGTAGGCAAACTGCTGTATTTGTTGATGTAAAGCTGTTTTGAACGGTTAGATTGTAAAATAAATTTTTAATAAAGTACCCACTGCAATTTTTAATAAGCATATCTCATTTATGTACAAGTGTGTACAGCTGTCCGTTTCTTACTGAACACTTTCTTGGGTCAGAGACAACGAACACAATTGTTTCTTTTCTGGATGTTTTGCAAGTGTTTCTAAGATATTATGACATTTCCAAGATTTTCTTTGCATTCTGGAAAGCAGGAGGTAAACATTTGTAGTCATTAAGGTAAAGTCTGTTGATAAACCATCTCCTGTTTACTGACAGGTAAATTGTAACTTTGTTTGCTTTTGAAATGAGTAACTTCTTCACACTGCAGAGTTAGGAGCAGCCAGGGAGAGCTGGCTAGAAAAGGGCCAGACCTGGCTCTTGAATGCCAGGCAGATTAAATGGTCTAGCAGTCATCTGAAATTGAGTAGGCAGTGGTTCAGAAATCCAGTGGGGACCGTTTGACAGGTAGCAAAATTGTAAGCACGAAATAGATCAAGGTCAGGAAGCCAGGTACAGCCCTTGGGATAGAGGCAGTCTTACAGATCAAAGAAAGCAGTTCAGAATCCATGAGGCCTGGGAATTTTAAAGCAGGAATAGTAAGAAGTAGAAACAGTGA